TTACTGTCTATATAAGAATGAATAACGTAAAAGAGAGTGGTCATACAACTACAAATCATTAATAATAAAAAGAAAAATTTATTCATTAAAACTAATTTACAAGAGTACACGAAAGTTATACATTTTGTTGCTGCAAGAGATTAGTGTGACTCGACAAGCGTGAGCAAATGAGAAGATACATATGAGCGTTGAATAATTAGTCTATTTTGTGCAATGTAGCGGAGAAAGGGAAAAAGAGTTAAAAAAGAATTTTACAAGGACGAAGTAAAGTGATTGGAGGAGAAATAGGGATATGAACATTTAAGGTTCGCATTCATAATCGTACATTGATCTTCATTTCAGGAAAGCTAGATTTCAACCAAAGTTCACGCTTCGCGCCAAAGTTAAAATCATAAACATTTCTTAAAAGTATAATTTATTAGAGCGATCATAAAATGACATATAAACTATATATAAGCATTGCATAAGCTGGACCAGCATCTTATAATATAAATCAATATGATATCTTTTACTGGATGATCCAACGGCCTTAAGCTATGCTTATGTCGTTTCATGTGTAATAACCCTTATGCACTTTCTGCAAACACCAAATATAAATACAATATAACGTGGAAGTAATATAACTGATAATTAACAGTCTGTGGTGATCCGCACTACCGAACGTACTTAACAATCGACACGTAATGTCTGTCTTATACATCTGTCTTACACATCCTTCTTTCTGTATATATTCCAAAAGTTTTTTAATCTTTTATGGACACGCTCGTTTGAATATTTTACACATGATTTCTGAGCCTTGCCAAGATATTTTTAATACATTTGACTGTTCAATCGTACGGAAATAATGTCGAACTCTACATCAAGACTCACCCGAACTGTGAATGTAATGAATATGCGATCATTTGCGATAATTGATTTTGTACTATGATTTTTTCGTTATGTTAATGTCTGAATTGTGCTCAATCCGGTAGCCAAAACTTGTAACTTTTTATTATTATTTTCTTGTTTTTAATTTTATTTTTGCTTTATGTAATTTTACCTCTTGTTAATTGTAATATATTCTTCGGTTAATTTTGAAGAAATGTGTCGACTCTTTGCCCTTTACTTATTATTATTTATAACTGATATATTATACTTTATTTATATTATAGTTATATAACTTTATATATATAATATAACCAGATTATGAAACTATTACATTGTTTTGTTATTTATATGTTATAATAAACAAACAGTTATATAATATAACTACATTTGTTGAATGTTATATAACAATTGTTTCATTGATACTGTGCTAACAGTGCTCTTAAAAATTTGCTCAGTTCGGGGTGTTTCCGGTACGCGATCCTCGCTACCGCTCGAGGCTCAGCGACCGAGCCACCGGATGCTCACGTGACGCTCTAGCTCAGAAGCGTCTCTGTAGTTAAAACAAGGTAGTACCAATGAAGTTCGTAAATATTTTTTTTCTTGCAAAATAATTTTTATTTTTTTTTTTAAATCAAATACTAAATTTTCTAAAACATTTTAATAATAATAATTTTTGCTTATCAGAAACTCTCTATTCAATAATTATTATAAATTTACATCAAGAAATTTCTAGAATAACTAACACATTTTGTCATAATAATTCTTGCCTACCAGAAACTATACAATAATTGTTATAAATTTACATCGAGAAGTTTCTATAACAGACTTGTAAAGATTGAAGTCAGGGGAATGTCACTCCCGTGACATAATCTCTCTAGCCTAGTGACGTTACCATCTGTGATGTCATCCCCCTCGCACGTTACCACCTCTCCCTCAGAGAACCTGAATTAGAATCGGCCTACCTTTACTGCTCAAATTCATTTTACAAACACATTAAAAGAGGGTACAAATTTTTGAGGGTTTCTCGATCATTCGGGAGATCATTTTATTTGATTTCTCATGTATTTTTTTTCGTAAAAAATAATCATTTATAACTCCAGATTTAAGAAAAAATTGGTACATTGAAATAAAATGAATAAAATCATTATTCGTATCGTTATGAATACAATAAATTATACAATAAATCAAAAGGCTCAATAAAATTAAATAATAATATAAAAGAGGGCTACAAACCTAAACTAAAAGTTTTAATATAAAAGTTAAATCATAAACAAAAACAATGATCTATAACATAACAAACGTTTCATGTCCGATCGGGTTTTCAATGTTAATAAACGTTTTAACATATATAATACAATTTACAAATCTTATTAACATTTACACGTGAATTTAATTGTTAATAAGTTATAATACTATCTTTAACAAAATATCTTTTACTGCAAATCTCGTTTAAGTTTTATGGACTCATTTGGAAGTATTGGATGCGAATGAAGATTGTATGTTATAACTTACCACAAATACTGGAGGACCAACACAGCTTTCATATATTGCGATAATCTAGGTTTACAAGACATTATTATTAATTTTTTAAAATACTACAGACCGTTTAATTTATATGTCTTTTTATTATATAATATATATTTTATATTTTATATTGTAAATAAGTTTATAACCGAATTTTATTAACATTGAAAATGACCCAATCGGGTACGAAACGTTTGTTACGTTATAGACCATTGTTTTTGTTTATAATTTAACTTTTTTATATTAAAATTATTTTAGATTTGTAGTCCTCTTACGTATTATTATTTAACAATAAATTATGTTTCAATAATTTATTTATGAAATTAGTTCCAAATTGGATCAAATGCGAATAAAAATGTACCGTTTCCCCCACTCTAAGCATTACGCATAATAGGGTACCAAGATGATAAATGTTATAGTGAAAAATATAATCTAATTAACGTTTTGTGGTGCAATATTCATCGCATTTGATCCAATTTGGAATTAATTTCATAAATAAATTATTGAAACATAACTGATAGTGATTTTGTAACAATGCGAATAAGAGTTTTATTCACTTTATTTTAATGTGTATCAATTTTTCCTTAAATCTGGCGTTATAATAATTATTTTCGGTTTCTACGAAGAAAAATACATAAGAAAATATATAAATAAAACGATCCTCGAGTGATCGGGAAATCCTCGAAAATTTGTATCCTCCTTTATTGCTTTAAAAACAAAAATTTATACAAATTCTTTGTATTAGCAGTGAATATGTGTTTTTAAAGCAGTAAATTTTTGTTTTTAAAGCAATGAATGTGTTTTTATAGTAGTGAATTTGTGTTTGTAAAACAGAATTTATTTTTAAAACAGTCAATTTGTGTAATTAATGCAGAATACGTATACATATATGCTGTATTGAGTTCGAGATGACAGATATCTTAAGTCTTCAATTTTAATGCTTAATAACTCAATTTATGAAGCCAACCATCGCATTTTTCTGTCAGATACTTTCGTTTTGAGTGAAAACGTATCGAATGAGTATATTTTATTAAGATTTTAGATGGGGGGAGGGGG